TTCTTTGGGCTGGAGAACAAGACTCACACTCTTTCTTTTGTGCACACTCTGTCCTCATGGCTGAGACAGGACAGATGGTAGCCAAGTAGGTAGAACTCCACGAGGAGAAAAGAGAMTGAAATCTGAATCTAGATGAGCATCCATAGGGAAATCAACGCTTTTTGCATCCTCCTCTTCTTCAACATATGTATGATCTGGTGTAGCTTCAACCACACAGCTTCTCACCCTGTTTTAACCCAGTCCAGGGCCACAGCCATCAAGCTCCTGCATGTSTTCTCAGCTGCTGAGACCAAAACTATTATGTGAGGGATAGGGAGGAAATTCTACTACATTTGCTTCTACGAGGATAGAGGTGACAGGACTTAAGCACCTACAAGAATGGATGCAACTAGGTGGCATGTAAGCTCAGCTCTAGTATGAGCTAAACTGTCTAGCCTTGGAAATACTGGGCATACAGCACCAGGCACACTGAAAAGTTCTGCTTCAGAGATGGTCCTAAACAACTAACAGCAAGAGAGCTCTCTGCAGAACAGGCACTGATTTCATGACCTCAGTTTGAGTTTCATTACTTTTTGACAAGTGAATGGTTTATTTTTATGGATTCCTTGAAGATTTTTCCCAACACTTTTATGTCTAGCAGTCTTTGTGACCACTGTTACTAAATACTATTTAATGAAAGGCTTGAAATTTGAGGAAAGTTAGCCCAGGAATATTTTCACTRTTATCCTTACCTCGAAACTGATATCGTAGTCTCGTAAATGCAAGAAAATAATTAAAGCCTAACTTTTCTTTTCAACAGCCCATACAGAAGAGCTAATGTGAAGAACTGGTAACAGAAATGCTAAGCAAAAGCAAGGGTTTAACACCTCATTCATTAGAATCTCTGAGATGCCTGGAATTTACTGCAGAGAAGATTTCTTTTCACCATAATTATGTGAAAGACCAGAATAAAACTGGGTTAAATGAGGCAAATATACAAATAAGAGATACTCGATTTTGTGGTAGCTTTWCTTACTATCTTAATTATATATTTCCTTTAGAATGTTTCTTTTTTCTCTCCCTGGGACAGATGGAGTAAATTAATCTTAAATGCAGCATAAAATCTATTCCAGATCCTCTCATATGCCAGTGCTTAAACATAACTAACTAGAATAATAAAAGTCAGAGACGGAAAAGATATATTAGCTGACCACCTAAAATTTTACATGCAGAAATGTATCAATTTAACTAAATCTATTTCTAAATATTTAAGGAGGTTYGGTTACATCTTAAATGTTCAACAGTGGCTAAACTCAATTTATTTGACTTTGCGATCACACTTGAAAGTGAGTGGGAGTGATCTGCTTTTAAACAGAGTTGCAGTGATTAAATAAATGTATGTGTGTGGACTAAGAGTCAAGGAGACAGCAGGTCCATCCAGTGCTAGTACTACAGAAGACTGAACGTCTCCTTTGCGAGGGGGTTCAGTGTCCCCCCTTACAATTATAGTTTTTGAAGAGCAAATATTTAGCTGTTCCCAGAAAAGTGGTGCAAGTTCAGAATCAAGATATGCTGAATCCTTGCGCACATATAATCCTTTTGCACACAAAAGTGAATTTATTTAGATGGCATAGTCCACCAGTCAGGAAAGACAGAGATTTTGGTTTTGTAATTTCTGAACAATTATAAACATGCCACTACAGGACTGATGATTGCCAAGCACCTTTTATAGCATTTTGTCCAAACTAGCATTTAGCAACTTGCTAGAGGAAAGTGGGAAGGGAGGTTCCAATTAAAGTGGGTTACTCCATTCCGAGAGCCTTATTTTTATTGGAATATTTATGCTAAGTCCTCCATATAAAATTATACTGCCTTTTAAAAAGTGTGTAAATCAAGCCAGATATTCAAAACACATTAAACCCTAAGCTCCCCACTCACCACTAGGATTTTTTCTGAAACTTGTTGAATAGAGAAGAAAACCAGAAAATACCTTCTATCAAGCAAGATTCCTAAAACAATTCCTACAGCTATTCCTACATGAAAGAAGTTGAGCAAGGCAGGCAGGAGATCTGCATGGATGGGAAAGGAACATTTGGGTAAAATTTATGAGAAAAACAGTGCATACACAATGTGCAAGAAGGGCCAGGCCATATAGGAAGAATATAGGAATATTGTCAGAAAATGCAGGGATGCAACGATGAAAGCTGAGGCTCATTTGGAATTAGAGTTCACAAGAGCTGTCAGGGACAACAGGAAGGGCTTCTACAAATACATCAGCACCAAGGGGAAGACTAGGGAAAATGCTAATTCGCTGGAGAGGGTGCCTTGGTGATGGAGGATGCAGAGAAGGCAGAGTTACTAAACACCTTCTTTGCATCTGTCTTTACTGCTTAGGYTGGTCCCCATGTGCTACAGAGCCCAGATATAAGACAGAGAACCAGGAGAGAGAAAGACTTTCCACTTATCGAGGAGGATTGAGTTMGGGATTATTTGGGCAAATTGGACACCCAAAAATTTCTGGGCCTGGATGGGATGCACCCAGGAGTGCTGAGGGAACTGGCGAGAGATGTTGCTCAGCTGCTCTCCATCATCTTGGAGAGGTCATGAAGAGCAGGGGAGATGCCGGAGGACTGGAAGAAACCCACATGGCTCCAGTCTTCAAAAAGGGCAAGAGGGAGGAGTCGGGCAACTACAGGCTGGTCAGCCTCACCTCTGTCCCTGGAAAGGTGATGGAGCAGCTCATCCTAGAGAGCATCTCTAGGCATGTGAAGGAGAAGGAGGTGATCAGGAGTAGCCAGCATGGATTCACCAAGGGGAAGACATGTCTGAYGAACCTGGCTGGATGGCAGAGCTCAGAGGGTGGTGATAAATGGGGCYGAGTCCAGTTGGAGGCCTGTGGCCAGTGGTTTCCCCCAGGGATCAGTACTGGGCCCGGTGCTGTTCGACCTGTTCATCAACGAGCTGGACGAGGGCACGGAATGCACCCTGAGCAAGTTTGCAGAWGACACCAAGCTGGSTGGAGTGGCCGACACTTCGGAGGGCTGTGCTGCCATCCAGAGGGACCTGGACAGGCTGGAGAGTTGGGCAGAGAGGAACCTCATGAGGGTCAACAAGGACAAGTGCAGGGTCCYGCACCTGGGGAGGAATAACCCCGGGCACCAGGACAGATTAGGGGTTGACCTGCTGGAGAGCACCTCCACGGAGAGGGACCTGGGAGTCCTGGTTGACACCAAGTTAACCATGAGTGAGCAGTGTGCCCTCGTGGCCAAGAAGGCCAATGGGATCCTGGCCTGCATCAGGAGGAGTGTTGCCAGCAGGTCACGGGAGGTGAGCCTGCCCCTCTATTCAGCTCTGGTGAGGCTGCAACCTGCATTGTAGGCAAGTTTGGGCTCCCCAGTTTATGACAGATGTAGAGAGGGTCCAGCATACAGTGACAAAGATGATTAAGGACGGAGCATCTATTGTATGAGGAAAGACTAAGTGAGATGGACCTGTTTAGCCGGGAGAAGCCTGAGAGGGGATCTGATCAAGATGTACAAATACCTGAGCAGAAAATGTAGGGACGGAGGAAGGGTCCAAACTCTTCTCCATGGTGGCCACTGACAGGACAAGGGAAAATAGGTACAAATTGAAACTCAGGCAGTTCCATCTCCATGTCAGGARGAACTCTTTCCTGTGAGGGTGACAGAGCCCTGGAACAGGCTGCCCAGGGAGGCTGTGGAGTCTYCTTCTCTGGAGATCTYCCAAACCCGCCTGGATGCCGCCCTGTGCCCCGTGCTCTGGGTGTCACTGCTGGAGCAGGGGAATTGGACTAGATCATCTCTAGAGGTCCCTTCCAACCTCGACCATTATGTGATAAAAACAGATTCCTAATGGGATTTTCCGGTTTTGATATATGCTCCTTGCTGCTTCAGAGTGCTGGCAGCATGTAGCCATTCCCAAGTCACTGTCTTTCTCTATTTTACAATGATCCTACCTACCCAGAGTCTATTTTAGAAGGTCAACATGATGCTCTATTTGAGACCTGAGTGATGTGAATTACATAAAGCTTGAGGCTGCTAAAGAAGGATAGATCCTGGTGTTAATTTTTGTTAGTGTACATCTATATGCTGTTCTCTCTACCATCGTTGGTCTTTAAATGAAGGACATCAATGTCAACTATGCAGACAGCTAAACCAGGTCAGCAGTTCTTTTGACAATTTAAGACTGCCTCATATGGCATTTTTCTACATTCTGGTCCTGTCTAGTATTCCATGTTTCAAATTCTGAGGTTTTCACCCCACTTACGTTCTTTCTTATGAGGTACAAATTAAAAAAGAAAAGGAACAAAATATTTTTTCACTTATTTTAGGGTGG